TTTCAGGACCAAAGCTCTTAAAGATAAGTTTGTTTGCCAGGCAGTGCTGCTTTCTTCCTTGGTTGTGTGAAAGCATTTTTGTTGAAATGGAAAAACAAACAAATTTTATTTTTAATCATATACCTATTAGCCAAGGAGTTTATCAAACAATTTTTTATGGAAGCCTCCCATTTAAAATATATATTAGCAGCACTTGCCTGTGAATTGCTATGTATATTTAGGGTTCTCACAAAAAAACAAGGAATATTTACATTTTAAATGTTTTTTAAAGGGAATGTCTAAATCTCTCTCCCTCTGACCAGAAATATCACAAAAGTCTGCATTTTAAAAGTGTCTCTGTAAAACTACTGAAAGTGTTGAAGCAAAAGTGATAGTGACGTCAATGGCAGCTTTGTGGGAAAGATTTGGGGCTTGTCATAACACGCAGCACTACAGCTGTGCAACTTTAGTGCAAGTGAAGACTGGAGAGCTTCTGTCAGCGTAGTTAATCCACCTCCGTGAGAGGCGGGGTATCTATGTCAATGGAAGAAGGCCTCCTGTCAACAGAAACTTGTCTACACTGGGGGGTGGGGGCATTAGGTCAGTATTACTATTTTGCTCAGGAGTGTGGATTTTTCACACCCCATAGCAATGTAGTCATACTAATATAACTCTGTAGTATTGACCTGGCCTGAAAGGAAGCTGAGTAAAACTTTCATGATTTAACCCAGTGGGGACTGATTTAATCCAGGTAAGGACTGAATATGGCCAAGGATCATTAAGATTTGTCCCACTAATAATAAAAACATGTAGATTCCAGGGAAAAAGCAATGAGTGCAACTTAAATGTGATTTACAAAGAACTGCTGAGAGAGTTTTCTGCTGAGATTGTAGAAAGTTCTGTTCGCCCCTTTCATGCTAGAAGGTGGTGTACATTCGAGGGCCAAACTTGAAAAGGCAGCACAATTCATTTAAAAAAGATGCCAGGATTTGATAGATGATAGTCTTATCTGCAGAATGTGGTGCACGGAGGTCACTGACAGACAACAAACAGGAACCAAAGTCTTCCCTAAAAATTAAAAACCTGCTCTACCAGTGTAACAAGCTGTTCCCAAACCTGGATGAGGAAGAGAAAGGAGGTGAGAGTTTTAGATCAAAAGTGTTATACAAGTTGCTGCAAGTCTGTAAAATGAGTAGGTCTAATAAGATGTTCTTAAGGCCCTATAGGAAGTTTTGAAATTAATAGTGAAAAAACAAAGCTAATGTTTAAAATTACCAATACAATAACCATCCTATTCTTATTAAATATTGCCATGCCACAGTCATGCACGATCTTTGTGGCCTCAAGTCCAACACTGGCACTTTCCAAACTGTCTGAGGGCCACACAAACTGGTATAGTTTTTTAAATAAAAAATATGCATAACATAACCATAATATTTAGCGTAACCATAATATTTACCTCTGTGGCACAAGTAAAGTCTTTTTCCCTAGCACAACTTATGTATTAAAAGCTGACCAAAAGTGGGAACATTTTTGTTTCAGCACTGAAGTTAATTTATACCATGAACACATTTTTAGCAAAAGTATATTGGGATAGCTCAGGTGAAACCAATTTATGTTCTCTGACAATCTGGCGTACTCTGTACCTTTACACAAAACAGTGCTGTCAATAAACCTATTGGTCTTGGATTCTGTGGGCATAAATTGAGTAAAAAAATGTATTGGGTATAGTGTAGAGCAAATCACAGCAATTGAAAATAATCATAGAGCTATCCATCACTTTGAAATGGGCTAGGTATCTTTTTACCCTACATCACTCTCTAGCCAAGTTGACTGAACTACTCGTCCAAATTTGCCTCAAAAGAATTAATTGAAATACTGTCTGCACTGTGTTGCAGAAGCCACTTCCCACTGCTAAATGAGCACTCTGCAACTAACTGGAAAAACAACAGTCAATTCACTTGGCCTGTAATTGTGTGGCAGCCAACATCATGCTGAGAAAAAAAAAGACAAAAAACTATGCTGAGTGGAAGAATTAACCCCACAATAATAAACTAGAATTATCCATCAAAGGCTAGGGTACAAAAGCTTCAGAACATGCAGAATATGATCAGTCACATCTTTCTTATAGTAATAAACACTGATTCTCAGTTGTATAAAACACAGTTTATTTTGAAGTGGACATACAATGGCATGTTCTCCATTTTGTGTATTCTGTCTGGTTTTTATTCCCAATGGTTCAGCCATCAGTAACTATGTGAAGCAGAGGTGATACTAGCCCGTTGGGAGCCCTAGGCAGGAATAATTTTAGGGGCTTACCCACATACAACAGATTTTAACAGGGGAGCCGACAGCCTGTGTGGGCATCTGGACAAGGTGTGCATGTGGTGGGGAGAGAGGGGACTGGCTCTGCATCCTTGGAAGGGTGGCATCAAGCGGAAGGGTGGGGACTGGGGTAGCCAGCCTGTAGTGCAGTGCGCGCTCGCACTCCCCTCAGAGCCATACGGAGCCCATGGTGTGGCACACCGGCAATGATTGAAAGGATCGGGACTCTAGCTGTTGACACTGTCACAGTAGTAGTGGTAGGGTTGCCAGGTGTTCGGTTTTCAACTGGACAGTTCAGTATTTGAGCTCTCTGTTTGGGAAACAAATTGAGAAACTAGAACTGAGAAAATAGAAATGTCCAGTATTTTCTAAATAAGACCAATGTAGATTGTGATGTAATGTCAAGTATGTCCAGTATTTTTGTTGAAACCACCTGGCACCCCTAAGTAGTGGTGGCAGCTGGAAAGCCAGGGCTCCTTTCAATCACCAGGCCCCAGGGCAACTGTCCTGCCCCAATCAGTGGGCTTGGATTCTAAAAATTAATAGGCAGGTCCATTGAACTGCTCAATGCCCAGAGCAATTGTTTAGCCTTCTCATGCTTACTGCCAGTTCTGATGTGAAATATCTGATTTTTTTGTTACAAAGAACCCAATGATTAATGAGGAGTGAATCCCAAAGCAATTAGAGGTGTGCAGCCCAAAATTTGGCTTATCTGAACTATCCAATCTATCTCTCTGGATTAACAAAACTGGGTTGAAAATCTTAGGCTTTGTCTACACTGGCTTTGCTGACAGTGCCTATGAAATGAAATGCAGATTAGCATATTGCCATGCTTCATTTGCGTAATTTATTCAAGCCATTTTTGCACAATGAGTTTATGCACAAAAATCCTGTTTTGTGCAAGATCCTTACGCCTCTCCGGGAAAAACAATATTCTCACATGGAGAGGTGGTCCCTCCAAAGTGAGATTGAAGCATTCTGGTTAGAAAGCATGTACAGATTGAACCTCCCTGGTATGGCACTCTATGTTCTGGCAAGATTTTAGTTAGCTGGCTGTCCACTTATTGTGGGTACGGCCACATTTCCCACGGTCCCATAAAGTTGGTTTACAGCCATCAGCTCTGGCTCTCAGTGTTCTGTGCTATTATTTAGCTCTAATTTACTCCTAAATGTCTTCTTAGAGCCCAGTAAACAGTGGAATTGTTGGTAACGTTGTTAGACATTATTGACCTCCCATGGTTTGGCAAATTCTTGGGTTTGGCATCAGTTAGGGTACGTCTACACTTGATCCCTAGTTCAAACTAGGGATGCAAATGTAGCTGACTGAAATTGCTAATGAAGCGAGGATTTAAATATCCCGTGCTTCATTAGCATAAGCTCGCCCGCGCGCTATTCCGCTCACCAGCTGATGAAAACCAGAAAGTACACTCCGGGATGCGTTAGTTTGAATCAAACCCCTTGGTTCAAACTAACGTTACTCCTCAAAAAATTGCTTCATTCGCAATTTCAGTTGGCTACATTTGCATCCCTAGTTCGAACTAGGGAGCAAGTATAGATGTACCCTCAGGTACCTAGGATGCTGAACTAGCAAGGGTCAGCCTGTGCTACTCTTTTCTAAAATAGAGCAACTATGGATAAGGGTACTAGGGCTATCAGTGTGATGCCTTTTGTGGAGACTAAATTCAACTCAAGAAAAATTTTGAAATTCAAAAGGAAAAAAATGGTGGCAAAAGCCTTTTTATTGGATGTCAGTTACTTTGTCACTGTTGGGCGGGCTTGCTTATTTAGGGCCTGATCTGAAATCCAGTGAAGTCAAGATAACGCTGGACAAATTTATGAGTGCGATCCTATGATGGGTTTGAGTATGATAGCAGGAGGTAAGGCTCAAAATCCCTGAGGCTGGCCCACTTCTTGTTTACGTCTCAGGTTTGTAAAAATTCATGAGACAGGGCTTCAGCTGATCGCTTGCAAGGGTCAGGAAGGATTCTCCTTCCCCCCCATTTATTTTTATCTTTTTCTTCTGGAATATGAGGGAGAGCCACATCTGGAGCTGGAACACTGGACAGAAAGGAGCAAGGTGCTGAGATGGCACTGTGTATTCTCTCTCTCAGATGCTTGGCAGGCTGATTCTTGCTCACATGCTCAGACTCTGAGCTGGCAAGTGGAAGTGACCTTGTTTTGTTTTGTTCTGTTCTTTCCCTCTGCACTGTGTAGGCGTGGACCACTTGCCAGGATTATTTGGGTTTATCTTACTTAATCATTCTCCTGGCACAGATGCACCTTGGTTCCTCCTATTCTCTGTCTGTGGCATATAACAGCCTAGTCTCTGCTGGGGCCTAATACTTCGGACCCATTTCAAGGCTTGTCTTCACATACAGCACAATAGCTGCATCAGTGCTTCCGGCCTTAAACTCTGTAACTGAATGGTAGTCACTCTGTTACTTTAAGGGGTCTTTTTCTTAAAAGATACTAAAAATAAAGGGGGAAAATGAAGCGCACTACACTGTATTTTTGTCCTGCTTTCAGCAATGCCACTTGATCTGACCAATGTTGCTGGGTTCTTCTTCATTTGATCATACTGTTTTCCCCCAAATTAGACCTTTGAACAAGATATTGACAGCAGATTTATAAAATAACTTTATTATAGATGATTAGAATGGCACAGAACTCATTTTGTTTTTCTTTTGCCATTCCAGGATGTGGAATGTTCACCTTTCTGTCATCTGCCATTGCTGCCATCAGTGGACTCCTCATGGGCTATGAACTGGGACTCATCTCTGGGGCTCTTCTTCACCTACGCAGTATACTAGCACTTTCTTGCAAACAACAGGAAATAGTCGTGAGTGCCCTCCTTTTTGGGGCCTTACTAGCATCACTTACTGGTGGATTCCTAATAGACCGATTTGGAAGGAGAATTGCAATTATTATAGCATCTTGTTTACTTGTACTGGGAAGCCTGATCTTGATACTCAGTGCATCATATGGAATACTTATTGTAGGACGGACAGCTATTGGTATTTCAATATCATTATCCTCCATTGCAACATGTGTATATATTGCTGAGATAGCCCCACAGCACAGAAGAGGCCTGCTTGTATCATTAAATGAACTTATGATTGTGGTTGGCATTCTTTCTGCCTACATTTCAAATTATGTTTTCACCAATATTTCCCATGGCTGGAAATATATGTTTGGACTTGTGATTCCAATAGGAGCCTTGCAAGCAATTGCCATGTATTTCCTTCCACCGAGTCCTCGGTTTCTTGTTATGAAAGGTAATGATGAAGCTGCTAGCAATGTACTAGGAAGGCTAAGGGCTACTTCAAATACTGCTGAAGAACTCACTGTGATCAAGTCTTCTTTGAAAGATGAACATCAATACAATTTCCTGGACCTGTTTCGTTCAAAAGACAACATGAGAGCCCGAATGCTAATAGGCCTCACATTAGTGTTTTTTGTGCAGACAACAGGGCAGCCTAACATTTTATTTTATGCATCCACTGTTTTGAAATCAGTTGGGTTCCAGAGCAATGAAGCAGCTAGCTTGGCTTCTACTGGAGTTGGAGTGGTTAAAGTGGTCAGCACAATCCCAGCCATTGTTTTTGTGGACCAAGTTGGAAGCAAAACTTTTCTGTGTATTGGCTCTTCTATTATGGCGGTGTCTCTGATCACCATGGGATTGGTGAATCTTAACATACACATGAATGCCACTAATATCTGTAGCAACCAGTCCCTGGAAGATTCCATTTTTCATGGAGCAGAAAACATGAGTGCCAGCAATCAGAGTCTCAAAGAGCAGTTTGCTGGTGTGCCTTTCCAGGGCAGAACATGGCTAACCACGCTGAGAAAATTTGAAATAGCTAAAACAGAGGAGCAGAACAGCACAGCTATGGCAGGAGGAAGGGCCTCTGCAGCAAGCCAAACAGGATCCCATGTAGTAACAGACACTGTGGAAGTTCCAGCTGCTCTGAAGTGGCTGTCTTTGGCCAGCTTGCTTGTTTATGTTGCTGCTTTTTCCATAGGTCTTGGACCAAGTAAGTGTTTCATATTTTTTATTCCTTTTAATGATTTATTTAAAAGTAAATTAAGCACTGGTGTAATATACCCATGTTGACATTACTGGAAGTTGAAGTTCTCAATCTACAGAATAAACATTGCAGTAAGCAGCAGCAGAGCAAGTTTCCACCATGCTGCTCTACCAACAGACTGTTCCTATTCTGGAGAAAACAACTCAAAGTGGGTGAGAAAGTAATTCAGGGTATGTCTACACTAGCCCCCTAGTTTGAACTAGGGAGGCTAATGTAGGCATTCGTAGTTGCAAATGAAGTCCGGGATTTAAATATCCCAGGCTTTATTTGCATCTTCCCGTCTGGGCGCCATTTTTAAATCCCCTTAGTCCGAACTAACTGCCCGTGGCTACACACGGCAGTCAAACGTTAACTCGAACTAAGGAGTTAGTTCCAGTTAACGTTTTACTGCCAGGTGTAGCCATGGGCAGTTAGTTCAGACTAAGGGGATTTAAAAATGGCGCCCAGACGGGAAGATGCAAATAAAGCCTGGGATATTTAAATCCCGGACTTCATTTGCAACTACGAATGCCTACATTAGCCTCCCTAGTTCGAAGTAGGGGGCTAGTGTAGACATACCCTCAGTCTCCTTTGCCCAGTCAGTCTTTGACTCCGCTGCTAAAATCGCCATGGGAGCATGTTACCACTACAAAGTGGGTTGAGAACTTTCAAAATAAAGCTATAGAATATTCAAACAAAGGTAACTTTCAGGGTGAAATCCACATCTTATTGAAATCAATGGCAATCCCAGGATTTCACCCTCAGTCATGCTTGTTATTATTATTTCAACCAGTGACCTGTAAGTGGAAAAACTCTATATCCTATGGATGTGTCCAGAGTCATTTTTAATTTCCTACACTCCACCCCTTTTCCTTTTTCTTAGCATGTAAACGGTAATACATAAGCTATACTGTGATGGCCCATAAACCCAATTTAAAATCTTATTGCTAGATGCTTTGGATGGCATAAATGAGCATAGTATCCCCAACTCGACAGGAGCTACACCAATTGACTCCAGGTGAGATTCTGTCTCTGAGTGTGTATCCATGCTCACTGTATAACCCAACCTACTACTAGGAAATGAAACACGTTTAATCCTATTGGGTAATTTCTCTTGGCCCAGACACTTCCTATCCTGAACAAAACAAACAACAAAATAGTTAAGAATTATTCAATCTATAAAATATCGATTTAAATCAAAACGAGCTTTTAGCAAAAATGCTATTGCAGAATCCTCACTAATGACAGAAAACAACTTTCCTGCATTCCCATTCACAGTGACTAAAACTACTCTTTTCCTCTTTCTTTTTCACAAACTCTTTCATATTATTTAACCTATCAGCGGCTGATTTTTTTTAAAACAATAGATTGTAAAATGTGCATGCACAAAGCCCATTATTTATTTACAGACGTTGTGTGCCTGTGTACCTGACACAAACTTGGTTTGGAAACATACTGTACTTCAGACAGTCAATTATGATAAAGAGTTTCGCATGAGCGTAACACCCCTACTGTCAAACCAAAGGAAAAAAAAGAGAAGGTAAAACCCAACAATAGCTATTTATTTAAAATGTTGCTCACTATAGGTATGTCTACACTGCAGGCTAAAGTTGAGTTAAGATATGAAACGTCAGCTACATTAATTGCGTAGCTGAAGTTGAAATACCTTAACTAAGCCTTTGGCACTGTCTACACAGCAGGAAGTTGAAGGAAGAATACTCTTACTCCTCGTGAAATGAGGGTTACAGAAGTCAGAGTAAGGAGTCCAGTATTTCAAAATTACTTTAAAATAACAGGCTTGCAGTGTAGATGCGCACTATTTCAGAATAACATGAGTTATTTCGAAATAAGCATTCAGTGTGGACATAGCCTAGGATAGCTGAACGAGCTAAACATTCATTGCCAAGAGGGTCCTAAGGGATAGCAGTTTGACAATGTTACTCCAGCATACAACATTACATTACAATCCGTATAAGGGCTCGATTCTATTCTCGGTGACACTGATGTAAATTGTGAGTAACATCTCTAAAAAGAGTTACTTCAGATTTACACCAGCGTAACAGAACACAAATTAATCCTAGAAGAGCAACCAATGAAGAACTATCGGTATTTCAATTACTGTCATTTAACAAGTTTTCTTAATACAAGGATTAAACAGTTTCTTAACATGAAACAAAATGTGGGCATCTGTTTTATTGGCATGGACAACTTATTCCAGCATTGGGGATGCCATCCAGTGTGCCTTCAACAAACAACTGAGTTCTGAGGGCTTGAAAACAGATATGTTTGAACAAGAGCACATTTGCCGTGTACACTGGATATTCAATCAATCAGAATATACTAGGGTATCTATACAATATAGTAACTCGATGTCCAAGGTTTAGCTAAAACTGATTAAATACAGAAAGCTCAGATTAACTGAACCAAGGAATTGCTTGAGTCTATGAATAATAGAGGGCTTTACATATTGTAATTATATGTGCCATGTCTGAAAGGCAGGCTAAGGATTAAGTTTCATATGTAACCCTTGGCTTTTTCTGCTTGCAACTGAAACCCTTTCACAATATTTCAAATGTGTAGATTTTGTCTGGTAAATTCAGTTTTCTTAATGTTCGCTTTTAAAACAATCCCTTAGTTATATAAATTGGCCCTTTTAAAACGTTTGGATTTCTCGTCCCCTGAACTGGTTGCCCTGTCTGCTAAATGGTTACTTTTGAACCATGGCCCATGTGGGAAATAGAGCAGAGGGGCCTTGCCACAGTATATCTGTTCCAGGACGTTCTAACTGACAAAGCCACACAATCTCCATGGGGTACCCAAATGTTGCAGTCTTCAGTGGAGGCTTCACTACCCTTTCAATGAGTATGGAATGCAACTTCCTCTCCATGTCTGGCTTGCTGTGTTGGCTGATATGAAGGAGGGGAGCTAGGAGTACCTCACTTGGCATCTCTGTTTTCTCTTCAGTATGGCACAGGAAGGGAGATGGGATTGTGCCTAGCTTTGAAGGGAGCAGAAGGTTCCTTGCACCTACCACCTTACCCAGCTGGGCCATAATAGCTGTCTATTTAGAAAGCATATGATATTTAGAGTATGTGTAGTTCAAATCCTTATGAAAAGTACATGTGATTCCATCAGGAACATAGCACAACATACACTGGACATATCATTCAAATTCAAATCTTTGATGTTCTTTTTTTCCCTATTGCACGTCAATTTTTGGCTCTAATGTGAGATCCAGTTAGTGCCCACGCTTTCTCAGTAGCCTTTTTGTTTTGTTTTATATTTTGTACCTCACTGGTTCCTTCTTTTTACCAAATTACCAGAAACAATTAGACTTTCTTTTGATCTGCTCTGCTAAATATCACTGTTACTATTTATAAAAGCACTCAGACATAACTGTGATGAAAAAGAGACAGATTTAAGCCTTTTTGCATTGTAAGAGAGTTGTAGAGAAGAAAGACTATGTCTAGTCCCATTTTAATCCAATATATTGTGTATTTATATAAACAAGCCCTTATGCAAGATAAGAGGGACAGCTTTATTTGTCTGTTTTGCATTAAGTTTAAGTGCAATCCAGCTTCTTGCATACACTCGGTTTCAGACAATTATTAGAGCACATTACTAGCATAATAAATCAGTGTTGCACCACACTGTTGAGCCGCATACATTGTCTCTCTGACAGCGCTCACAAAAGCACCACAAGCTCCTATTAACTAAGGTGCAGGTATTAGACATACTTGACACACCTTTGGCTTCTTTACTGCTGGTTGCCAACATCTTGCATTTCAAAAAGGTCAGATGGAGAGGAGCCCCCTTCATGAGGGAAAAAACACCTGAACAGCAGGTAAGTATCAATCCATAGTCAACATGAAGTTGCGAAGGTGAGGTAATTGAGGTGGAAGCTTGTTTGATTTCAGTAAGTGTTTGCAAAGAGATACAGGCCCTCGGTACATACATGCAGGCATAAGAACTTGCTACACATTGGACATCAGAAATTTGAGCCTACATATGATACTGTGCCTAAAACAAAACACGGAACAGAAGTAGGATGCTGAGTTTAATGTTGTACATAAATGTACATATCTGTATACGTTGGCTACATTGAAAGCCTGATGCAATAGTGAAAAATTATTTAATATCAACCAGGAAACAAGCATCTTTTATAGCGGGAACAATATAAAAGCAAGTAATCTATGGGATAATTATTTGGGGACAGAAATAGAAAGTTCTTTCTTGTAAATAATAGCAAACTCCTCCATTGCTTACCATTAAGTTGTGAGACCATGGTAATGCAAATTCCTGACAATGAGACTATTTTCCTAAGTGAGACCCATGAACTTGAGTGTGAAATTCCTGTTGGTTAAAAACATGTCTAAAACAAAAACATGCACCACCTGGTGTTTCTCCTCCAAACAACACAGATACTTTCAGACATGGTATATGTATGTACAGTTCCCCACTAGCAGTAATGGAATGGCACCTGTTCTAATTCTTTGTCCCAATCCGATCCCTGTGTGCCACTTAGGACTGAAGTCCATGCTGCACAAAGAGAATGGAAAATTCCAGTAAATCCCCTCCTGGGATCATTCCCAGCACCTGGAATTTACAAACAAAAACAAGCAAACAAATGAGCTGGCAGAGAGAGATCTGGTGTGTGCCTTCCCGCATCCTCTGGCCAGGGATTGTCTAAGGCCAGAGTAGACTGGAAAAATAGCCATAGCATGATATGCAGTTGTAGCCAATTGCTGTGTGATCTGTAGAGGACCATAACTAACTGGCATAAGTTAGAGTAGCCTTCAGCCAACTCAAACCTGCAGCAAGACCAAGGCCAGGGCAGATTATCAGGTAGTCATAACTGGTTTCTTGACGGCCTCTCACTAAATTGGGCAAAGCACAGCATGTATGGCAAGGTCTGATTTATTCCAACAAGTAGGGTTGCCAGATGGTTTAACAAAAAACACCGAACA